AGAGAGAGAGAGAGAGAGAGAGAGAGAGAGAGAGAGAGAGAGAGAGAGAGAGAGAGAGAGCAGAACCATGATGTGCATGACATGGGGGGGGCTGCTGAGGCCCAAAATGCCCAACCACAGACGCCCAAGCCCATGCAAAACGATGGAGGGCGCAGCAGAAAGATGACAACATGGCCAAATTTCTGATATACCCAGGTAGCTCCCATCCCAGGGCCAGGGGAACGGCCTTGACTGCCAACAACGGCCGTGGGGGCATACTGAAAAGATGCATGGTACCGGTAGGGCATATGGCAAATTCTAGTGCAGGACCTCAACGGCCAACCGGTAAGGGCATACTGGAAATTTGGCGGCAGTACCAGTAGGGGCATATTGAACAAATTTCAGGCCCAAGTGACGCCAGGGGTTTTCTGGAACTTGAGTCGTCGTCAGAGGGGCAAATCAGGAAAATCGGCCGTCCGAGGGCAAATCGCAAATACACGGAAAATTCAGGGCCATTTCGCAAATTTTCCCTTGTTTTTTTCTATCAATGTACTCTATTTTTTTTCCCCTTAGATCTCACTCATCCTCTCGCTACTCTGTGTATAGTACAGGGGGACACCAACCAAACCTGGATCTCTCCCAGCCCTGGGGGTAGGTTTGCACCATAGTGGTGGTGTGAGAGCAAGGCTTGCGTCAGCCCTTCATGGTGTGCACCATAGTGGTGGTGCGAGAGCAAGGCTTGTATCAGCCCCTCATGGTGGTGATGTGGGGTGACCAGGCATTGCCAATGGGTAAAACTGCAATGCTAGCCTAGAGCACTTTTATGGCCAGTCACTTGCACCTCTCCATACCCACTCCAACCCCACATTCGTGGTGTCTAATGGGCCAATATAGTTGCTGCATAGCAACCCACAATATTGGCCACGGTCCAGCCAATGCTCTGGCTTGGGGGCCCAATGTCAGAAATTTGCAGAACTTCAACTTCTTTCCGCACGCCGCAGCACTCAAACAAACTGAAGTGAAGACCAATCTTGAAGATGACAACTGGAGAGAACCTTTACAACAAGCTCATATTGCTCAATCACACCAGCACACTTTATGAAAAAAAAAAAAAAGAAAAAAAAAAGAGGATGTCCCCTTGAGGGCCAGTCTGCACTGAGCAGTCTGCACTCAAAACCGTGCAGTATAGAGCCAGAACACACTGGCTATGGCTGCACCCGAACCCTCTCCTTCAGCCGCCAAGATTGGCACTGCTGCTCCTCTTCACTCCACCAAAATCACGAACTAAAAAATGAATGAACTGTAGCCCTAGCTCCTCACTTTTTTTTCTTTTGTCTTTTTTTAATGCCAATTCTGCCTAACTGTACTCCTAGCTGGTCACTTTCTGTTATGCCAATTTTGTCTGGGCCCACTAAAAAATGAATGAACTGTAGCCCTAGCTCCTTGCCAATTCTGCCTAACTGTACTCCTAGCTGGTCATTTTCTGTTATGCCAATTTTGTCTGGGCCCAAAACAAGGTCCTCAGGGACTCTGGTGTAGAGAAATTTAGAAGTCTAGGTCCTATAAGGTCCTATAAGTCCAAGATCAGCTAACAGTAGGCCTACTTGGAGGTCCTAGGTTCAAATCTGACTGGCAGCAAACTTGAAAAACAAAATAAACCCAACTTTTTTTGTTTCACACTTGGGACAGGTCTCGGGTTCGATACCCCTGACCCCAACAGCTGTAGAGCACCAAGCATGCTTACGCACTTACGTGAGGCCCATGGGGATTGAACCCATGGGCCTCATGACCTCCTGAATGCAACTTTTCAGCCTTAACAACTGAGCTTTTCCCGCTCTCTGATTTGTGCCTTAACAACTGAGCTCTTCCCGCTCTCTGATTTCTCTTTTCCTTCGTCTTATGGAAATTCTCTCTTGCTCCAGCGGTGTCAGCACTCTCTTTGATTCCTTCCTTCAGTTGCCTTTCCTTTTCCGGCCCTCGTTTGCTCCTTTTTCTTTGTCAACGACCGTTATCCTTCCTCTCGCCCTTTGCCTTTGGGGAGTGGGAAGGGAATTCAAAATGGTCGTTGCACTCAAAGATAACAAGTGCCATTGTACCCTCTCTCTCTCTCTCTCTCTCTCTCTCTCTCTCTCTCTCTCTCTCTCTCTCTCTCTC